ATGAATTTCTGCAGCTTAGTGAGATAAGTCATTCATACTCTAACAAGGATATTTTAAACAGCTGGTTATTCCTTCAGGAAAACCATATTCAGATCAAACTAATTTCCTAAATGACATAAAAGGAGTGAGAGCTCTGAGGTGTCTTATGTAACTCACTGAGTGCTGATGGCTTGGGACTAGATGATGGAATGACAGAGGAAAGGGAGGCTGAATCTTTGACATGGTAAAAATTGCCATTTAAAAAAAATCACAGTAAATATCACCTGCTGTGTATTAAAATGATTAAAGGGCTTTTTTTCCCCCATACTTCTATTGTGATAGGTTTTATAAACAAATAATTTAAAGTACACTAACCTGTTAAGCACCAGTAATTAGTTGAGAAAAACAAACACAAATGTTATTGAAGAGAGAGCAAACCCTGAGGGAATTTAGTCCTCTGAAATTATGCTAAGTGTCTACTGCACTCATTTTGGGAGACACCCATCCCAAATAAAAACCCCTTTACGTTTTTCTCCTGTTTTCTGTCACACATAATTTCTATAATAGCTAATTGACAGGATTACTTACTAACACAGGTGGACCAGGCAATGGATAACACTATCTGGAATACTTGGGGTTTTCATGGAAGAATTGAGCCTATAAACACCTGAGAATGGAATGGGTACTGAACTGGCAGATGGTAACTTTGCCACTAAGTAGTTATGGGATTTGGTTTTGTCACCTTACCTCTTTGGACTTTAGTTTCCCAATCTGTCCAATACAGGAATGAGAATTAAATTCTCTCCAATGCCCATTCTAACAACTCCCAAGTTCCACAATTTTAAGATGGCTTTGAACACTTTGAACAAAGATTTGAACATTTAATCCCATAAGATAGACTAAAAATATGTAGGAATGACAAGATATGGGGATAGGATATATTTTTTATCTCCCAAAAGGTATTCCATTATTGTAAAACTAGTTTCTCTCTTGCAGTCTATCAGCCATCATGGCTCCAAGGAAGGGTAAGCAGAGCAGATGCCATTACAAGAATGAACAGGATATGGTACATAAGGAAAGCCCCTGACATACCAGAAGGAGAAAAATTCATCTCTTATAGCCCTGAGGGATGATGGAAGGAAGAAAGGGGTACAAGGAATTGGTAATCAGACCCAGTGTGCTTACCTTCTACCCCTTCTTAGGGCAGAAACTACAATTGGAGGTATATAGTTCACATAGATTTGGGGAAATGCAAGGAAACCAGGGATAGTGGTTTGGTTCTCTGAGCATGCCTGTGAGAGTCTGAGTCCTCTAGAAACTCAGCTTTCAGTTTGATGGCTTGTTCAGTAGGACATAGGGTGAATCATGCAATATTGGTGGAGGGAGATGGCTGCATACATAAGCCCAAAGCAAGGCTCCTGGCTCATCAAGGCTTACATGTGGTATTTAGGGAATCCAGAAGTTCCCATAGATCTTCGTGAGAAGACAGAGTGGCACTGTGAGAATCAGTGGGCCTGCAGAGACCCGGGGTCAGTCAATACTGTGTGGCTGTGTACATACAGCAAATGGCTTGTGTAAGTACCTCGGTAAAGGAACTAGTATGATATCTCAAAAAAAAAAAAACAAAAAAAAAAACCACCAAAAACAAAAACCAGAAATGGCCAAGTTCACCTCTGAGGCTATCAGTTCTCCTTTCAGATCATAGCAGACACTCCATACATTCTGTGGATAACACAAGGAGTGGCAAGTGTGGCTTCCCTGATGCCATGTAAGCCTTCCCATCCCTCAGGGCTGCTACCAACCAACTAGTCACTGCGTAAATTAGAAAAAGACACTCCTTTCTTAAGACACTTTACTTCCACCTATCAGAAAATTGTCATAATATACTGGTTTTGTTAGAACAAGGCATCTTATTGCTACATGCCACAGAACTGTTATAATAAACTTAAAAATCTAGGATGCCAAAGATATGAAATCTATTCACCTTAAACAGCAACCCTCAACCTCCATATGTATCTTGAAATGAGAGGGAGGTGGGTAAATCTCAAAGATTCAATATCTATGTTTAAAAAAGACAGAGAGAGGGCGCCTGGGTGGCTCAGTGGGTTGAGCCGCTGCCTTCGGCTCAGGTCATGATCTCAGGGTCCTGGGATCGAGTCCCACATCGGGCTCTCTGCTTGGCAGGGAGCCTGCTTCCTCCTCTCTCTATGCCTGCCTCTCTGCCTGCTTGTGATCTCTCTCTGTCAAATAAATAAATAAAATCTTTAAAAAAAAAAAAAGACAGAGATAATGTGGGGACTTGAGAAGGTTAAACATTACAGAAAATAAACAAGTTACATCTTCTTTGTACATCTGAATTAATATAAGTAAATCTTCACCTCTGCCATGCCAAATTACAAATGCTATATGCCCAAGATTTTTGCCTTTTATATTTATTTTTGGTATCTCCCGTAGCACCTTACATAGTCATGCAGATGGAACAGAAGGAACCAGTAAGTGTTTGTTGAATAAAAAAGTAAATTTGTAGAAAAATCAGAATTATGGATCCATCTATATGTATAATAGCAAGTAATTTTCCTTCCCTCCCTGTATCTAAACAAATTTAAAATTTTACCCATTGGCATCTAGCTAACAACCATAAAAATATGGAATTCTTCAGTTGTTTTCTAACCTCTTTCTCATATATTTTTTGAAGGAAACTTAGATCTAAGTTTCAACATTTTCAGGACCAAAGAGAGATCATCTCAAAACTACAGATCTTTAAAAATCGAAAACAGGATTGTCATCCAAAATAAGTTCTTATTAAAAGGTGAGGAGCCCTCATTATCCAGAAAGGTAGCCTGCGTAGAGTCACATAATCAAATCAGGGATTCAAACACCCTGCACAATAAAGGCTCCTCCTGGCCCCTCACTCCCCTCCTTCCCCGAGTACACACTTCTCTGCCTCTCAGCTTTACTTCATCATACTTTGTAAACCGCTTAATTATCTATGTCAAACCAGAGAGCAACTGGTCGAACCCAAATAAGAGAGAAATCATCCAAAGTTCTGAAAACCAGAGAACCAGGTAAATTGCCAGTTTTACCATATACATAAAACGGTAAACAAAAGGGAGAGCCGAGCGAATTGAGAAAGGGTACTTTTTCCGTCTTCACAACAAAAGCTAGAGAATAAAAACGCGTTTTCCTTGGGGACAGATTATGCTGAGGGGACCAGATACAAAAGATAATTCCTCTTGGGGTTTTTCCGTTCCCTTTGAGTTTGCGGGACCTAAAAAAAAATTTTTTTTAATCACATAAGCAATCATAATCTCAACACATTTACTTCCCTCCTTTTCCCACGTATTATTTTCCTGAACATTATCTAGACCACGTTTCCAAAAGAGAAATTGACCAAAGGTCTATTCAAACTGTTTTCAAGACTTAAGTGACTCCTCTTAGGCTGCGATTAGGAAAGTACTCCAAACTTCGGTTACAAGCTGAAAGCTCAGTGAATTGGATCTCCAAGGTTTGCAAATACCCTCAGCTGGGCTAAAGGGCACAGAATCTCTAGCGCTCCCTACAGCTCACATTTTGAACCTACCTACCACAGAAAACGCGAGTTACCAAGGATCGGTTCCCTGGCTCCACTTTTTTCTCTGGTTAAAAATCGGGTGAAGGTGGTGGTGGTGGGGGTAGGACTGAAAAGGCGAACCAAAGGATTAATCACTTCTCCCCATTACATCAGCAGCCCCCGCCCTTTCCTCCGAGAACCTCCTCTCCTAGAATCGTCGCTACGCACTAGCGCTCTCTTCGCCCACCCCCCGCTCTATTATATGCCCTGATACCTCCCCATTATCACCCGCCCCACCACACTCCCCCTTCCCTCCTTCCCCCTCCTTGGCGAGGGAGGGAGGAAACCCGAGAGAGGAAACAGGGCGTTGAAGGAAGGGTCTTCGCCATAAGAGCGGAAGCCCCATTGGCCTGAAGGTTGTATGGGAGCTCTCCATTGGCTGCTTGGCTAGAATCCCCGCCCCTCTGCTTCCCCGCCCATTCACCCCTCCCCCCGCCGCCCCGCGGCCCTCCCCCGCGCCCCTGGCCAGCCCCGCGGCGGGGAGGGACCCACTGGGCGAGTGGAGGCTCCGGCGATGTCAATGGCTCCTCCTGCCACGGAGCAGCAGCAGAAGCAGCGGCGACGGGGTTGAGGAGGAAGAGGAGGAGGAGGAAAGGTTCCTTTAAGGAGGAGGAACGACGACGCCTCTTTTTCCCTCTATCTCCTCCCTTCACACTCATTTCCCCTTCGCCGAGGAGAGAAGGGGGGGAGGAGAGAGAAGAGGCCGAAGAAAGAGAGAAAAAATTCCTCACAGAAATCTCTTTCAGGGGGTGTGGGGGTAGGAAGAGGAAAAAAAAAAAAAAAAAAGCCGGGCGCCCCCTGCTCCCTCCCTCCCTTCTCTCCCTCTCTTCTCCTCCTTCTCCCTTCCTCGCCTGCCCGCCCACTCCCCCCGCCGCCGGAGACGCCGCTCGGGAGTCGGCGGGACCGGAGTCTGTCTCCTCACCCGCCGACGCCGCGCTTCGCCCCGGGATCCCCAGGCGGGCGGACGCCCTTTCTTTCTTTCTCTCGCTCTGCCCGTCTTTCTGTCTCCGTCCCTCGCGGCCGCCCCGCCCGGTGGCCTCGGCCTTCCCCGTGCGTCAGGCCCGCCCGCCCGGCCTCGCTCGGTCTCTGTCCGTCTCCGCGGGCCTTTCTCTTTACTCGGGGTCTAGCTCACCCCCTCCGCCCTTCCCATCTCCCCTTCCCCTCGCCCCCTTTCCTTCCTCCCCCTCCCCAACCCCTACTCCTGCCCCGGAGCTCGCTGTGCGTCTGTGTGTGTGTGTGTGTCCCTCCGCCAACGCCGCCACCTCAGCCCGGCAAATGAACTCCGTCCGAGCCGCCAACCGGAGACCCAGGCGAGTGTCGCGGCCGCGCCCGGTGCAGCAACAGCAGCAGCAGCCCCCGCAGCAGCCGCCGCCGCAGCCGCCCCAGCAGCAGCCGCAGCAGCAGCCTCCGCCGCCGCCGCAGCAGCAGCAGCCTCCGCCGCCGCCACCGCCGCCTCCGCCGCTGCCCCAGGAGCGGAACAACGCCGGCGAGCGGGGTAAGGCCGCGCTCCCTCCCCGCCGCCCGCCGGCTCGGGCGCCGGCCGGCCGGGACCCGCGGGGAGGGAGGCCGGGGCGGGCGGGGGAGGCCTGTGCGCCCCCGGGCTGGGAGACGGAGGCTGAGCGGAGGCGGGTCCGCGGCTGCCGCAGTGTCAGCCCGGCCCGGACCCGGGCCGGCAGGAAAAGCCGCGGCTTCCCCACTCGCCCGGGCTCTGGCTCAGGCCGCGCTTTGTTTGGTTGCGGGGGCTCGGCACCCTCTACCCCCACCCATCCTTTGGCTTCTCGCCTGGTTCACGGACCCCGCAGGAGTCTGTTGGTGGCTAGGGTGGGGGGCGGCAAAGGGTGGGATTTCTCCCTTTTCTACTGCCTTCCACGTTTAGCCTCCCTCTTCCTAACAGAAGGCGGGGGGGAACAACTGGGAGTGATCGGGCGGTGGGGCTGGCTGGGGAACTTGTTTTCCCCCTTTTCTCTGTTAGCCTCCCCCTTCCTGTGGAGGAGGGGGAGGGGGAGAATCCGAGTGGTCTGTGGTGTTGGCCGGGGAACTTGTTTCCCCCACCCCCCTTCCTAGTCACGGGGTAGGGGCAGCAAGCGACTACTCTCCCAACCCCACAATGTTTGCTGCGCAGTTTGGCTTTAGTTACAGAACCCCTGGGAAGGACTCGTTAAATCGAGACCTTTAAATAAATAAATATAGAATCCATCGGCCATTTCCAGCCCCCTCCCTCGCGTGCAGTGCAGTTACCCTGCCGCTCTATCGACCACCCCTCTCGGCTGTCCTCCCTTAGCGAACCCCTACGCCACTGTGCTACCCTCCGTCTCCTAGTGGGGTTTGAACGCCCCTTCCTTCGAACTGGCCCCTTGGGAGAGTGTGAGTGTGCGCTGTGTCCAAGGCCTAGTGAAATGTGTCATTTGGACCCAACTGTGCAGCTCTGTCTGGTAACCACCATTGTCTAAGGGCTGAGGCTCCCGGGGGTTGGATTCTTGGTTTAGCAAAAATAATGTTCAGTTCTACTTTGATGATGTGGTTATTTTGGGAGGTTTATGGGGTAGGTGTTGCACCTTGGTCTCCAAACGTAACTATTCTCAATTAATTAGCTGCTCTCGGTGGGGTGGAGGTCAGTACCATATTTATGTGTACGGTTGTTTTAAGGAGGAGGGGAATTGTTAGGAGACATTTTGCGTGTTTTCGTTGGCGGATTAAGGTTAATTTTACATGCATTGGTTGTCACACCTCCTTTGATTCAGGGAATTGAGATTAAATGCCTTTTTAAAAATTACACATTCTTTGCTTAGAAACTGTTTCAGTGTTGTACTTTAGGAAAATACTTAAATGGAAGAGAAATGATTATCTGAGAACTAGTTCAAAGGGTTTTCACTAGTCACTGTTACATATAGTCCTTGAGAAAGCAGTTTGTTATTTGTTGCTTGAAAGAGTGTGATGTTTCAAGCCAGTTAGAGGTCTTGTGTAACATTATTGGCAGATATGTTTTAATGATTCTTTGATACATTTACCGTTTTTTTGTAAATTAAAAATATTTATAGTTTCATCATCTCCTTTCACATTTGCATATCAGGGTTTTCCTGTGTTCCATTCAAATAATACTCAAGTCTCCTTCCACTATATGTTGTCTCACAAAATTTTTTGAGAAAACCAGTGACACTAGATTGAAATCCTAGCATAGTAAGGATTTAATTTCTAGAAGTAAGTAAGTGTTTTCAAGATGTACTGATTTGTTCATACCATTAGGGCTGAATCAAATCTGTTTGACCAAACTTAATTTAGTCTCATTACATATTTTAAAATATTTATTCTGAATCTACTTTTCACGATGTGTGTAATTTCAAACTTAGTTGAGGTACTTTTATCTTGGATACTTTTCTTCATTTGTGTGAATTATTAGCTGCTAAAGTCTGTTTCCTTTTGAAGTAAAGTGGCTTGGTTGTTGGTATTGGCATGCCAGAGTGTCAGTTTTCTTTTCATTCATGTATGTAAGCTGACTGACAAAGATGTTCATGAAATCAGGATTTCAATATGTAGCTAATGAAATAGTAAATCAGATGCACCATGGAATTGTTGCTTTGCTGCAGCTAGTAAAAACTGTTCTGGAGGTTCTCTGTTGGCACAGAGAGGACAAGAACTTGCTGATTAGCCTTCAGGGAAAATGCTGTGGGTCTTTTAGAGGGCAAATAAATGGCTTTAAAATGAATAAAACATTAAGCTAAATTAAAAGACTAATAAAGTTTTTGCCAGATTTATTGAAATATGTAATTCTTCAAAAATTGGCGGTTTGATTATTTTTTTAAAATGTATAGTTCACATAACGATCAGAATTTAGCCAAAGGAATACTCTTTATTTTAAAAAGTTTTATGGAGCATGTGGAGTGTCTCTATTTCTGGTTTGGATAGGAGAGGTTCTGTTGTTTAAGAATATGCTGGGTTTCATAATTTTGACAAGGTAATTAAGGAACTATAGCTAACACGTGCATGTGTGTTTTACTTTTTTTTTAACTAACTCTTAATAGATACGTAACTTTTATATTAGAGTTTGGATAGAGTTACATAATGGTGGATCAGAAAGCTTTCCTCTTTGGGAATTGAAGTCAGCACTCACTGTTTTTAAGACAAGTTAACTCAGTCTATATATTTAATATAAAGAATAGATTTTTGGCTTTTTAATGGTAATAGAGTAGTTACAAGATAGTTTTGTTTTTGTTTTTTTTCCCCCAAGCAAAAATTTTGTCAGGGCTGGTTTTTAGTTGCTTATTCACCCACAAGTTAATTGGTCTAAAAACTTCCCTGATAATGTCCTTAGACACACACACACACACACTTTCTTGTATATCTAATGGCCAATGTTTGAAGTAGAAAGAAACAGTCTAATAGAGTGAATTCTTATGAGGACTTTCCAAAGCCTTCCATGGGGGAGAACTACTTATAACCCATGTTGGGAAATAATTGATTTGGGTGTTTAATGTAATGCTGTCTTCACTCACATTATCTGAAATGGCCCACTGTCTTAATATGGAATATATTTTGGTCTTTTAGTTAAGTTCCAGAGTTTAGGATTTCACATACCACTTTGGTAGAAAATAATTTGTTTTGCCCATAGGTACTCTTTGGTAATACATTTCAGACTCGGTGAATCTGGAAGTAGTGTGGGGTTAGTTTTTTTATATTTATTTTCTTCTAAAAGTTCTAAAAGGATTTAGCTTTTGCAGCTTGTTCTGATGAATTTATTTTGATTTCTCATTGGTAGTCTTTTTCTAGGGGAAGTATGAGGAAAGCTTCCAAGCCTTCAGAAGTGCTGTGTATTCTGAGCACTTTTAGCTCATAGTTAAAATTGATTGGTTTGAATAGGTAATAAATGCACATAATTTAAAATTGCAGAGTTTTTTGCCTACACCTGCCTCCCATACCAAATTCTCCTACCTGGAATCAATCATTGTTATTAGTTTCTCATTTATTATGTTTTAATAAAAGATGAAATTTGACAACTGAAAATCTTGATATGGAAGTTTTTGAAAATAGGTGTAGTTTTTTTCTGGCTGGAAAATTCATAAGATTCTTTTGAAGTTCTGAAATTTTATATAATCATTTATAGTTAAAGAAATTTAATGAATACAATATATTAATGAATATTGCTATTAATTTCTAGTCTGAAATAATCATAAAGAGTAAAATAGTAATCACATCTTTTTAATTTCATATTTGTGGAATAAAAATCTCACCTATGACCCTGGAATTACAGGGTTTTGTTTTAACTAAACTTACTGAAGTAATTGAATACATATAGGATTACATGAAATATTCCTGATGGAGCTATGTATTTATAATATGCAGCCTCCAGAATACTCCTTAGCATTCTAGTCTTGCATGCTAATCATACTTTCTGTGGGCTTATTCTGTCTCATGATATTTTACCTTCAGGTTCTTCAGAATAAGGAACTTACAGAATACAAGAATAAGGAACTTCTGTAACCTTTTTTGATAGAAGAGTTCTGGACAAGGGACATGATTTTTCCTTTTTTAGGGATTAAGTACTGTGGGGCACTGCTTTCCCTTCTTGTGGCTAAAGCTTCAAAATATTTACATCCATGAAAGGAAGATGTCACCCAGGGTTTTGTTTTGTTTTTTAATGTTTGGGGTGGGGTAGAGGAGATCCTTTTTTCTCAAAGCTTACAAATTATTTGAGGCGTAGGAATGAGGTGGTGACAATGCCAGTGTTAAAGTTTTGCTGATGAGGCCTATGGGTTGTTACTATACTGCTTTTCTCTTTCTTTACTGGAAGTTCTGGCAAACCCATGGACAGGTCAGCCAATTTGGAGACCTACCAGGTAAGTCAAGAACTATCAGTAGATAATGATCTGTTAGGACCCCTGAACTTAAATTTGGCAGAATTCAAGGCTAGTGAGTATTTTCTCAGGGTCCCTCCCCCTTTATCTTAATTTTGAAGCTAAACAATCTACAATAATGAATTATTTTAACTTGAGGTTTTTATTGTCCTCCAATTTATTCCTTTTTTTTTTTTTTTTTAAGATTTATTTATTTATTAGAGAGCACAAGTGGGGTGGAGGGGCATGGCAGAAGTTAGAACCAGACTCCCCACTGAGCAGGGAGCCTGATGCAGGGCTTGATCCCAGGACCTCTGGGTCACAACCTGAGCCAAGAGATTTTCAACCAACTAAGCCACCCAGCTGCCCCATATTCCTAACTAGCACATTACTCTTATTTTGTGTCTATCTTGTCCCACTAGTCTCTGAAAGATTATTTTATTTTAGACTACTAATTTAATCAGCCCTTTGAATTGCATTCTCCACTTCCAGAGAATTCCAGTTTATGAGAGGTTGCTGACCAGGTACCCCCAAATTGTAGTTGTTAACCTTTGAAAATAAAATGATAAGCAAAATAGAAGAGTTGAGACAGTTGGACAGTGTGATATACTTCAGAGTTACAGCTAGCTAAATGGGGGTTCTAATCCTGGCTACACCATCAAGAGGC